CAACTGGGGAAGGTAACGTTTACTGTACTGAGGGTCTATGGACTTTATGTGATTAAAACATTATGTTGCTTGTTGTACAGTTGTATCACCTTTGAATGACTTATATGTGAATAAATACACACATTAAACGTCGATACTCTGTTATTTTTGTTGTTGTTGAACACTTGCTGAGGGAATTTCTTACTGCAATGATAATCCTACTGCTATTCTGTATCAGTTTCACCACAAGGATTGATGTAATTACATATGAAAAACAGACAGAAATGTAAAACTGTTAACACACGGTTTATTTCATTAAAACACAAAAATCAAACATTAAGACAATAACAGTAAAAATGTACATGGAGTGATTATTCAGTGTCTGTGTCATCATCATCATCAACATCTGACTGTTCACGCTCTAGATCTTCAGCCTCACAAAGATCTACATGAGACAGAATGTCTTTGACAACAGGTTTCATCCACTTGTTGATTTTAGCAGACAATCCTTTGGAATCAATATCGGGATCCATAGCTCTCACTTTCTCCAGGATAGGCTTGAAGAGGGGTCCATATCCAAAGTAACTCACATATCGGATAGCTGTTGACATTCGATCTAGAAAGGTAGCTTCCCAGCATTTCTTGAGCTTGTTTTCAATCCATCTCTCACTTTTCCCCTGATCTTCATACTCCTCTTTCTTCTTAAAGACATCATCTTGACAGTGCTTTAGAGTGTGTTTCCACATGTATTCTAAGCCTTTCACCTCCCACTCTTTATCAACTTCACTGAATTTAGAGGTCATTGTAGGCTGTAGAACATCGCTTTCATCAGCTGTCTCCATTTTAACTCGTTTCCTTAGGGGTCCCCCTCCATTCTCAGGGCACCATGATCTGACATGACGCTGAAGGTCATGATTATTTTCAAACACAATACCACACTCGTCACAGGAAGGCATAGTTGTATCACTAGTGTCGTCCTCTGATTCACTGTCCACTGGAGCGGCTACTTCTGAGATGTGATTTCTTCTGGTGTCTGGCTTCAAATGATACTGATTGACAGCCTGCTCCTCTTTTATTGGCCGTGGGGTGATGACTGTTTCAAGTACATTAGGTTGTAGTCTTCCTGATTCCAAGGTAGTAGGACGCAAGTCGATTGTCAGATTGCCATAGCTTCTTTATACACAGACATAAACTGATCAGCATTGTTTGGATAGATGCGCCTGGCAAACAAGTTGACTTGATGTCTGTCCACAGGGGAATTAAACAGTGTCACGTAATGAGAATTCAAAGCAATGTCACGTGACGCCTTACCTCTGGGAAACAGATTTTGTAACAGTAAGAAAATAATGACATTCTTATTGGGAGAGGTTCGGGTGAACAGTTGGGAGATGCGTTTATCATCTTTAGCCTCTGACATGAGGTCATCCAGTACAATCATGTTGTTATTCCGTGCATCCAGATAGTTATCCTCGTGCAGGTTGTAAGGAATCCCCTTCACAAACGTCACATAGGGTAACTGTTCACTGATTATCTGATACAGAGGCTGCCACTCCATATAACACCAGATAATGTTATTGGGTACAGGTTGGATGCGATTATGTAGTAAAATGTTGTACACAAACATACTCTTGCCACTTCCACTTGGACCCAGCACCACAGTATTGGATGGAATGGTAAAGTAGAACTGTTCTTTTAGTGCTGGAATCCTGCTGGGAATCATGCAGGAAGCAAAAGTATTGTAAGTCCCCATGATCCCCAGCTAGGTGGTCTAGGTTTGGTTACAAGTGGTCTATAGCCTGGTTTTACTTTCAAATAACTACTACACTGAAAACTTCTTTGTTTTAATATTGCTCAGGTAAGTTTTATGTCTACACTGTGATAATTCCCTTACTGTTTTACTGTCCTTTGTCGACAGGTATTTTTATAATAATAAACTTGTTCTCATCGCGATATGGCTGCAATATTGCCGATGCGATGTAAAATCATAACTCACTCACTCACTTTTAGTGCTGGAGGAGGGGGAGACGTGGGAGGAGGAGGAGGAGGTGAGGTTCCCAGAGGAGGAGGAGGAGGATGTGAGGTTCCCGGAGGAGGAGGAGTGAGTGAGTAAGATTTAATGTCACATCGGCAATATTGCAGCCATATCGTGACGAGAGAAAATGTGACTTTCATAACATATATGTAAACTGTATAAAATTCCGTCGACGAAGGACAGTAAAACAACTAGACCATCACAGATATATGTTTAAAACTAGTACAGAACCATAAAATATAACAATTCATAACATTACAATAGATAAAATTGGGCTATATATCACCAGCAACTAAAGTGAGGACACCATACTGAGGACCATGGGGACTTACAGTACCTTTGCTACCTGCATGGACCCCAGCAGGATTTAAACCATCCCTTTAGTCACTGGTGACCGTTGACAGGGTTTAGCCGGAGATTTAAAACCAACAAATATGCTACGATTAAAACACTGGCAGATATAAAATTACTTTGATTTATGTGGGCTTACATAACCTCTTAGGGGGACAATGATTTTACGCTACTTCAACCCCCTTCGAGGATATAGCCACTAACAATCTCCGTTAAGTATCATATACTACCAATTTATAAAATAGATATCTTTGTACATCAAAATTTATTAATTAATTCTATTTCCTTTAAAAAACCGTAGACGATGGAGCCATAATCGAGTTTTGAACGGATCAATGACCTGTACAAGTGTAGGAGGGTTGTTTGATCACCTCCCCACTTAGAATTAGAAACTACTTTTAACAAATCGAGTGCCTTCAGGCATTTAGCTTTAAGGTCATTAATATGCGGAAGGAAGGTTAAATGACTATCAAAAAGAAGGCCCAAGAACTTGGCCTCTTTAACAATTTTGATAGGGGTGCCATCTAAATAGAGCTCAGGATCCTTATGCGGCTTATATTTTCTGCAGAAATGTATACAATTAGTTTTTGATTTCGAAAATTTAAACCCGTTTTCGAGGGACCATTTATGAATTTTATTGAGACAGATTTGTAACTGCCTCTCTATTGTATGCATATTTTTTCCTCGACAAGAAACATTTAAATCATCCACGAAAAGTGATCCATCTACTGAATCACTTAAAACCTTTGAAAGACTATTTATTTTTATACTAAATAAAGTGACAGACAAAATACTGCCTTGTGGGACACCCTGATCCTGATGATAATGATCAGACAGGGTAGAGCCCACGCGGATCTGAAATTGTCTGCCAGTTAAAAACTGGGATATAAATTCAGGCAAACGGCCTCTCAATCCAAAATCATGTAAATCCTTTAAAATCCCGTGTTTCCACGTTGTGTCATACGCTTTTTCTAAATCGAAAAAGATAGACACTGCATGCTGGTTATTAATGATTGCATTTTTCACAAATGATTCTAACCGTAGTAAATGGTCAACGGTACTTCGATTCTTTTGAAAGCCACACTGAATATTTGTAATTAAATTATTTGATTCCAAGAACCATGTTAATCTATTGTTGACCATGCGTTCCATGGTTTTGCAAACGCAACTGGTCAATGAAATGGGTCTATAATTTGAGGGATCACTGTGATCCCGTCCAGGTTTCGGTATGGGTATTACTATGGCATCACGCCAGGAAGAAGGAAACTTACCTGTTGTCCATATTTCATCAAAAATCAACAAAAGGGTTTCTAAACACGGTTCTGGTAAGTGCTTCAGGAGTTGATAGTGTACATTATCAGCTCCTGTAGCAGTATCATGAGATTGTCCAAGAGCAGTATGAAGTTCATGGATCGAAAATATTTCATTGTAATCTTCCCCATTATCTGATTTAAAATTTATAGTTTTCTTTTCCTGCTTTTTTTGAAATTTTTGGAATTGAGGGACATAATTTGAGGAAGAAGAATGTTTAGCTAACGTTTCACCTAGTTTATTTGCAATATCCGATTTATTTGTTAATAGTTCATCCCCATTCTTAAGATGGTGGACGCTACATTTAGAACCCTTACCTTTAATTTTTTGTATCATGTTCCATACCTTGGAACGCCTGGCTTTAGCATTTAAGATTTTATATTTATTCAAATTATGGACCATGGGATGGCGACGGAAATAGTGTTCAGCCTTTTTCCGTGCCTTCCTTGCTTGTTTGCAGTCATTATTGAACCATGGTTTACGGATATGTGGATTTGTAGAGGACTTAGGAATACATTCATCTGCTATTTTGTTTAATTCATCTGAAAATAATTGTACAGGATCATTCGCATCAATAAATAGATCAGGTTTTAATTTGTTGGAAGCAAGCATTTCAAATAAAGGCCAGTTGGCCTTAGTGAAGTTCCATCTTGTTGAAGGAGGAACATCTGAAGGTAAGACAGATTTTAAAATAGTTGGAAAATGATCACTGCCACAGAGGTCTTCGTGGACGGACCATTCAAATTCGTTTAATAAAACAGAGTGAGTGAGTGATAAATCCAGTGCAGAGTATGTACCTGTACCAGGATGTAGATAAGTGTTTGAGCCATCGTTATAGATACATAATTCATTGTTAGAAATAAAATCTTCCAAAAGTTTCCCCTTATTATTTGTCTGAACACTTCCCCAAATCGGATTGTGCACATTTAGATCACCCATAATGATACAGGGTTTGGGGAGTTGATCATAGAGAGCTTGAAGTTCAGTCTGTCGGAGAGAAGACGATGGTGGGATATATAGAGAGCACAATGTAAAAACAATGTGCAAAGTCACACGGATTGCAACAGCTTGAAGCGGAGTAGTAAGTTGAACGGGGCTATGGATGACGCCGTGTTTCATTAGAATTGAAGAACCTCCAGTGGCTTTAGCACCAGGAGGGGAAAATACATTGTAGGGGGTATAACCTCTAATATCCTCTAAGTATCCTTATAATATGTTTCCTGTAAACATATGGCAGATGGCTTAAAATCCTGTATTAAGAGTTGTAACTCATTGTAATTATTCCTAAGTCCTCTACAGTTCCATTGAATCAAATTTGATGAGTGACTCATGGTGGCTTGATTGGCGATCTCTCACGTGAACGTGAGGAAGATGAACTCCTATCGCTAGTGCCTAACGATGGAGTCACCTCCATGTCTAGAGCACTAAAGGAGTTCTGAAGAGACACTTCCGAAGAAGAGAGGGTGCTAGGTGATTGTTTCCTATTTAACCTTTGCCTTTGCTTTTTTGATAATTTACGCTCCTGAACAGATGGCTCGTCAGGAGATGCCTCAGATGAAGTCTGTGTTTCAGCCTGAACACAACATGGTGATGATGCGGAGTTACTGTCAGAGATTGGAATGTCACGGACAGAAGCACTTGTAACAGGTCGGTCAGAATTGACCCATGTCAAATCGGTTTGACACAGAACAGATGAAAATGTTTTTGCAGATTTGGACACAGCAGCAGAATAATTTAGAGTTGAAGGAGCTGTTGACTGACTGGCAACAAGCTCTCTAGCATCGGCAAAAGAGATGTTTTTTTCACATTTAAGTTTCAGTATTTTGGTCTCGGTTTGATACACAGGACAGGATTTGGAAGAGGCCATATGTTGGCCTTCGCAGTTTGAACATTTGAGATCTTCAGTACACTCCGCACTCTCTTGTTTGCCACCACAACGATGGCAAGCAACGGGGCGTCTACAGGTTTTTGAACCGTGACCAAACTTTTGACATTTATAGCATCGGAGTGGATTGGGGACATACACATCCACTCCGATGTTGACATAACCTGCTTTAATTGAAGTTGGAACTGATGGACGAGCAAACGTGAACAAATATGTGTTCGTTAGGACAATATTTGATTTTTCATCCTTTCGGGTGAAACGTTTGACGGCTTGTACTCCTTGATATTTGAGTTCTGAAACAATTTCATCTTCCGTCATGTCTGAAAGGGAGTGTGTCCTGTCGCGAACAATGCCACGACAAGAGTTCAATGTCCTATGCTTTGAAACAGTAACCTCAACATTAGCAAAGTGTTTAATTGATAATAAATTGAGGGATTGTTGTTTCCTCGAACATTTAACCAGAAGAGATCGAGTACGCAAACGTGTGACATTTTTCACTTCTCCACAATATCCATGAATGGCTGATCTGTGGCTTCGATCACAAGGAATCGAGGCCAGGAATCAGGTGGAAGAGTATCAGCGTCATCGGATGAACTTGAGTCTAAATGGCGTCGTTTTGAACCAGATTGTGAGTGAGCCATGATTATGTTGAAGTGATTCAGCAACCCTGCTCCCCACCCACCATGGAGTATCATAAAAGACTGTGTTGCAATGCACCGGATCTCCAAGATGCAAACACCAGGGCTACAGGGTTGTTATACTCCAGAAAATATGACACAAACAGCAATATCTGTATACCAAAATAAGTGCCAGGCTGGTTCTGCCCATGACAAGAAATTGGATACATATTGAGTTTGGAGGTCAACATTACCAGATTGGCCCATGAGCCACCGCCTTCTGGCATGGGACTCTAGGCAAAAGTGTACATATAATTTCCAATGAGAACATTCATTTACAGGTGTCAAAAATACAAAACATGAATGACATCAATGTTTTCCATACACAGGGCATGGCATGACCAGCCGATTGATAGAACCGGGCCCATTCTACCACCCGTCTAGGTGAAGTTTGGGTCAAAGTGGTGTGTTGGGCAAAGGAACACAGTTCAAGGAACCAGTGCCCTCAACCACCAGACTCCCTTCCTCCACCGACACAGGGGCGCAACCCACGGCAAACAGGTTGCCCAATTTGGTCGCCTCTTACGACCAGCAATGGGGTGCTGTGGAAATATTCTACCCCGGTTCCACACGGGGGAAGAGCTATTTGCGCTACACAGCACTCACCACGAGGAGGTTGCTCTTCACGAGTGCCCGGAGGAGGAGGAGGATATGAATGCATCTGTCTCCTATGTCTATGCATATTATCATTTCTAGAGAACTGTCTCCCACAATCAGGACACGATGTGGACTCCATGATGATAGAAATGCAACTGACACTGGAATAAGAGGAAGACCCTTATATACTCTGAAGATCAGTTCCTGGGATCCAACTGTTAAACTTTTTGGGATAACCCATCCATTTCACAAACACCTCTTTTACGCCAGCTCGCTTCCTTTTCTTCAAAACTTTCTCCACTCTCCACACTGTGTCTGCGGGCTTGTCTACTCTCTGTAGTTCATTTGCATAGAAACTGCCTTGAACCGGATCATCAGCCATATCTTTCAACAGATAGATAGGCATACCATCACGATAGAACCTTCTTCTGATAATAAAGATTTCCTCAGTCCATTTTTCTTGATAGTCTCTTTGAAATGTATGTCTCAAATGAGAGAGTCTCACTTGATCGCCCACTTTAAATTTAAAGGGTTTCTTCATGGACTTCTTTTTGATTTCAGCTTTCGATTTGACTGGTCTTGTCAAAGTGTCAATGTATTGTTCTTTCCATACCAAAGCTTCATTCGTTTGATTAATATTAGAGGGTGATCTTTCATTCAATGATCTGTGAGGTCTGTGATTATAATCCCGGACGAGGTCTTGTAAAATATCCAAATAATGATACGTTTGTTTGTAGGTGAAATATCTGTACATCGTGGTCTTGAGGGTCCGTATCACTCTCTCGGCATAAGAAGCCTTGGTTTCATTTTGTGTGGCATAGTAAGTGATGCCCTTGTTTCTTAAATAAGACCTCATTTTCTTATTTACAAATTCTCGACCTTTGTCTGATCGTATAATTTGTGGCAGGGTAGCGCGGGAAAATATCTTCTTCAAGGCCTTAATGACCGCATCCGGTGTTTTATTTTTAAGGGGCTCAACCCACAGAAAACGTGTAAATACATTTATAGCTATGAGTAAGTATTTCACACCGTCATTGTCCGAGGCTATATTAGATACATCAGCCAAGTCAATATCCCATCGAGCATTGAGGCCTGAAGCCACCACTCTGTTCCGCTTGAACTTGTATCTTAAAGGTCGCTGAAGCGAAAAGGCATCTTGGGATGTCAACCACTTCTTTATATGATGCAAACTGATCAAATTTCCCCTCCTTTTTCACAATGTGATACAACTTAGCAGGTCCAGAAAAGGAGGCTGGGTGTTTGGGATTCAAATAAATACTAGACAAATATGCTTTCCATCCGTCAGCAGGCATGGTTACACGTGAAATGAAGCCCACACGATGTAAATAGAGCTTATATGTTTATCCACTTCATAGCCTATCAAAACTACAGAGACGGGCCTATGTTACCTTCAATAACAAATGTGCTTGTGTGTTTATGTTAACCCGTGGATACAGAGGACTGCCTTCCTCGTAGGTTTGTTTACACAACTATTTGCCTTCAGTGGAGAAGACTGTTATGTGACCTAGTTCGTCCTCGTGTTTACAGTAACAAAACAATTCTTCTTTTACCTATGCAACTAATGTAAACATAGAAGAACTGACAACATTGCACCCTTTCTATTTTAAAGGAATTTCATACATACTATTGTATAGTTTTAATTATACTGATTAGGCTATGTTTGAATGTATAGCCGTTGGTCTATCTTAAGCCAGGGTTTTCCCAGATTGCAACACAACCTGTAATGTACTACGCTGGTAAGCTATTTTTAGCGTGACGTCATTCTTATACCTCCGTGCTTGGGGTCAATGGGTGCGAGCCTGGGGCAGAACGCCCAATGTTCTTTCATCATGTAATAAGTAACATTGGTATACATACACCATATTTTGCCTCAAAAAAGGGCCTGGCCATATAGAAATGCGTCTGAGACCTGCATCACTTCGGGCTTTCCTCCCACATTAAGCCGACACGCCGCGATATAGCTGGAATACTTTTAAAAGCGGCGTTAAACCAGACTCACTCACTCACTCATGTGAAGAGTGTATCATAATTGTCATTATTTCTTTTCTCATAGATGAAATCAGCCATGACTTTTCAAATGTCACACACGTTTCATTGGCTGCTAAATTAACAGGATGGAGGTCATGGTTGAGGCACTTGCATTACTTTCAAAACCCTGACAGTAATAGTCCGCATGTTGGCCTTGACCAGAGCCTCCATCTTGATGCAGACCTAGTAAATTGTGTGCGACAGTGTCAGCAAAACCGACAAATGTACAGGTGTGTATATAATTCATAACTTAGTACTTATTTCTTATAAAGTGCTTCACTGTCTATGGGTTTCGGACACTTTTTGCAATATTTCATCACTATAACGGCGGGGGACAGCAGCATTGATCTTCACCCAGTGTACCCATCCTTATACATGTCATGTAACTTGTATTACGTACACCTTATACATGTCATGTAACTTGTATTACGTACACAAGCAATTGGTACCGTTGCTTTCACATTTCATTGTATGTGCATCATTTTGTATCCTGTAACACTGTATGCGCTTTTAATTTAAACAGGGATAAGGCCATTTGCGGGGATTTCTCCCGTAAGGGGACACCCCTGTCAAAGATCATGGTGACCGCTGCTGACAGGGTGGAATCACTAAAAATTGAGCACCGGACAAAAGAGGAACTAATGTTGGTGAATGTCACATTGCAACATGTACAGGTCTGAAGAGTGTACCTTTGATAACATAGTAATAATCGTATTGTTCATAGATTACCCTAACTTTTGTATTCTTTGGTATGTTTTGAAATCATATTGTTATGTGTATATTAATATAGTAGTTGTTTCAAGCTGATGATGACATGTGCCGTCAAAGGAAGGCAGTCTGCTCCGGTATAAAGGCTAAAATACTTGTCTTTTATCAAGACCTGCTGGATGTGGAGGCTGCCATGGAATGTGACGCTCCTTATGACGGTAAACACATATTGTATACTGTATAAATAACCATTATAATCAGAGTTAATTTCCGCTTGGAAAACTTTTGGCCCTGTCCTTGGGGTCTCCAATGTAAGCGTGTGGTGACCTTTTGATGTGGGGTACTTTTGGACATGTTGCCCTCTTACTTTTTGTTTTCATCTGTACTTTACTTTCCTTTTACATTCAGAAACAATGTTGTATTTTGAATGTGGCAATCATTTATTTTCATGTAGTTGCAGCTGGATGATATTATATATATGTTCATTTTAATTATTCTTTTCCTATGCTATTTAGTGATTTTACATCCCTTAATGATGACATGCGTGCAGGGTTTCCTCCCTTGTCATTGTGTTCGAATTGTGTCCCTTTCGGTTCACCACAGTTCCGGACGACATCTCTGACGACGAGTGCTCTATCGCAGTTGGCGAGTGACATGATCGGCCATCTTTTCCGGTAGGTTAGTGTGTGTTGAGAGGGATATTAATGCCGTTCTGGTGTAAATTGTGAGTTGCATCGTAGCGTAATAGCAATGTGACAGGTCAGAGTTGTTGTACAACGCGTGAATGTCTGTTTCTAAATGTTTATCAACGCATGTACCGAGGCACGTGTTCATGTGTTGCATAGTGGAGAATGTAGTACCGTACTGATCAAAAGTGACTTACCATCTTGCGACGTTTTGTTCAGACGCCGCAAGGTGGATTTTTCACCTTTTTATAGGGGATAGTGGGTGCGTGTATTCACTCAATTGGGGGTGTTTCACTCAGGTGGGTCCATTTCCTTCATTTCAGGGGTTTCCCCAACCTGAATAAGGCAGTGTGGCAAAGGGATATCCCAGCGGACCTGATATTCCTGCAGCAGAAATGTTTCACAACGTCGTCAAAATTGGCCAAATATTGCGATTGCAGCTGAGGTCATGCTGGCAGCTTAAGTGACATATTCAGGTAAGAAATATGTGACAGTTACAATGATCACGTATTAAAGTCATTTACGGCCTGTAAGCAACTTACTTGTGACACATTAGTGAGTGAGTGAGAATGGTTTTACGCCGCTTTTAGCAATATTCCAGCAATATCAAGCCGGGAGACACACCAGAAATGGGCTTCACACATTGTACCCATGTCGAGAATCGAACCCGGGTCTTCGGCGTGACGAGCCAACGCTTTAACCACTAGGCTACCCGACCGCCCCTGTGACACATTAACTTTTATATTCTACATGTAAGTAAATGTGTGATTTTATTTTTACAGGACAAGTAGCCTGTCTATCATATGTTAGTATTTTGCTCATGTACATATGATATGTTTTACTTTAACTGGATACTCTGTAAGCTAATGTGACTCACTGTCTTATTGCATATACTCACTTTACTCTGAGAATGATTAATAGCCTCAACTTATTTTTCCAGATGTGAAGAATCAAGAACAAATTTAATGACAGGGGAGTTTTGCATCAGTGATCGTCGTGAAGTGGAAGATAAGACAATTTAAGGATATGAACATTTTCATTTTCACTTGAACTAGTTGAACAATAACCATGATGACAACTTTATCATTTGGGAATTTTTGGTGGTGGGCTGGCCTAGTGGTTGTAGCGTTCACTCTTCATACTGAAGACCCTGGTTTGATTCCTGTCACAGGTATTTTTGTTCATTATTTACAGACTAACGCCTTATAGATGCGATATTGCTGAGTGCGGCGTTAGTCATCAAACAAAGCTAACAGCAGCATACTTACTCATGCGGGGATTCCAGGTTGAAATTGGTCCCCATCAGTAGGAGATTTTAGAGGTTAAAAAATCCGGTTGTGAATCCGGTCGTGACTAAATCCGGTCATCATCCTCCGGTCGTTATAAAACTTCGTTACAATCAACCGTTTCTATAATCATTACAAAGTACTTAAATTAGTAATTGTCACTTAATCCCCAGGTGACAGTGCGGCTGGGGGCCATGTTAGTAAAATATTGTTTTGGTTAATATAGAAATAATAAAAAAGATTAAAGAATATTTTGAAACCAAAGTCAGATAATAATGCCAACCACATAAGGCAGCTTACTGTGGCAGCTGCTAATACAACCAAAACAAGTTCATAGAGTAAAGGAGATAACTCAATAGTATAAGCATATATGGTATTCTTGACTTTACAATTAAAATGGGACCTATATTTTACAAATAAGCAAAGAACAATTAATGTCTGAATATCTTTAAAGTATTTCACAACAAACTACTTATTGAGATCTAGAATTTGTATTAACTACAGGTCACAAGACACTTAACCTCAAGATAATTCTAAATACGCAGTTATTTTTTAAACCATGACAAAGTTGCTAAGGCGTTTGACAGTTTGCCAGGGTGTATAACATCACAAAACATCATTTATAATCAACGAAAATATTAATTGCTATCAAAGTTTTTCTATATCCAAGTTACAGTACAATTTGTTTGAATTGCTACATACAAGTTTCTCTTTTGAAATTTACACCATCATCATAGTTCCAAAGTAAATCCTTACCAATAATTATTAGTAGTTTTGATAAATGAATGATTATGTTTTTAACACTATAATATAATCATTTCAAAAAAATATATATAACATACATTATATTAAAGTAGTACTCTTATATTTCAAGGAAAATGCCTAAAGTCCAATCAGAAAGTAAATCCCAAAGCGAGCGTATTTCTTTCAAAGATTTTTATAAACAATCAAGGGAGAAATTATAGAATTTATATAATCGCGTTAAAGCTAGTGATCTTCCAAAAGAAGTAGCCTTGTGCGTTCTAAGAAGAGAACGAGTTATAGTTGATAGTGGAGATGAACTGTACAAGTTTACCGTCAATACAGCTTTCTAGGAGGATGGAAAAACAGACACAACAATGTCTTTGTACATCCCCGATCGCTACAAGGCGGCAGCCAAATGTACCCATATTGTATACTTAGGCCAAGTGCAGACTAAGAAAAATGATACGGCGAACAACATTCTCTTCTTTGAAGTAGAGCTGTCTGACAAGAAAGAAGAAGATGACGACCTCGACAGCCAGAACCTCGAAGAGGACAACGACGGCGAGCCGCCGCCAACATGGATCAAACCATTAAGAAAACTAAAGAAGAAGAAAGAAGAAAAGGCAGGACCCTCCACCAGTGATGAAAAAGTCATTGAGATTACAGATGATGATGATGAAGAAGATGTCGACCAGCGATATTGTACGAACAAAGGAGAATGTGCAGGTTAGGAATACTGTGAGACATGCGGTGAAAAAGGTGGACATCAATTTCACCATCTGATAGGAGAATCGGAATTTATGTATTGTGTAGGTTGTGGTTACCTACTTCCCTCTATGTGAAGATATGAACAAACAGTAAGTAAGTAAGTAAGTATGCTCGAGTGCGAAATAGCCAGAGGCTGAAGCGCTCGTAAAATTTCCAAATATCTCTCTCCTGCAAGAAAAATACTGGAACTGTCGCCATCAACTCTGTGATTTATATTCTCAACTTTATGTTCTAAGGTAATCTTATGTGTATGTGTTCAGTTTCGAGTTTAACCATGTCCTGTCTATTTTCAGTATCCAGTTAATTGTAATATGTAAAGGATATCAACTATAGCCAGTCATCTTCCCGCCATTGTCAACTGTACCATGCAAATTCTCCCAACAATCAATTATCATCTCTATGTTGATTAAATGTAAAAATCATATAATATCTTATGTACATTGGATGTGTAGGGAACATTGTTGACCATCTGAGTTATGATTGGAACATAAAACGCCGGTATAATAATAATTATAATAAATTATACGAAGTTATCCTATAATAATTAGATCCACATCAAGTGCATTTATGAGTTATCATGGTATAATATTTATACATCATTTTATATAATTATAGTTTAGCAAGTAATATTTATCATCAGGTAAAATGTATATATAAAATATCAGTAGTTTCAGTTATAGCTTTTTAGATAGATGCTAGTCTAGGTAATGGTAGCGCATCTAGACATACTATTCAATAAGACAAGCGTTACGTCTACATAGTTTAATATATTTGAAGCTTTTAGATAAATGCTAGCCTAAGGTATCAAGATCCCATCTCCCAGACAGAAGATATGTCTACATAGTCTTATAGATTACCTATTACTATTTTATTTATGTAAATCTGTCATCACCTATATTAGAATAACATTCAGCTATTTAGACTCATTAAGGATAAGCAACCTCGTCGACAGTGACACCATAATCTCTTTTCCAAAGCATCTAGTATATATGTCAACCAGATTAGTGCCAGTCCAACAGGATTAACAGGATTAAGTATTCCCCTCTATCTAGCCATCCATTTAGCATAGGGCACACCCAATCGTGTATTAACCAATCTTATTCCATTTTATTGTTCAAATTTTTGTTAAATACATACTGTAGCCAGGTTTAAGCAGAGAAGGGGTTTGACTCTCTCACCAAGCAGACCTCTCTCCCACAGCTCAGAGTGTTGTACCGACTCTCTGTGGCACCCTCCAATTACAATAGGGCTCTTGCCTTGTAGGCAGGGAGCCCTAATAATTTATTACCGTGGCTCTCGGTCCAATATGCAATCCACTGGCTCATCCTCAAGCTGACACGATGGGAGGTCAATGAACATCCGTTGTGTTTTGTGTATTCGCGCCAATGCAGATGTGAGCTTTCTCACGCACCACTAACAAAGAATACGATATTGATATAGATATCCGCCCTTAGTTCTTGAGCCTAGAGCCTTGTGATTTTTTAGAACTTCAGGACCTAAGGTATTTTGGTGCAAATTTTCAACAGTTTCTGGCTACTGGTTCAGGAGTTAAATCTGTAATAATGTTCTCTGGTTAACTGTTTAAAGAGTTATGAATATTATTTATCCCGAACTACCTTAAAAACTATGTACCATTCTTATAATTTACCAATTTTTGATTATTGTTGTCATATTTGGGACAACTGTACTAATGAACAAGCTAAGCAAATTACACATAGATGCTCTTAGAACCAAATGAAGCGCTGTCCAGGTACGAGTCATCAGAAGATATAAAATGAAGCACATTGTAGATCATTAAAAGACAGAAGGCACAATTTATAACTGGTGATGTTTTGCAAAGTGAATAACCATTTATCCCCGGAATGTCTTTGTAGGCTCATTCTTAATACAGTTTCGGAAAACTCAAATTATGACATAAGGGATAAAACTAATCTTCAAACAGTGAAGTGTAGATCAAAAGCTTATGCAGATTCATTGATACCAGCTACAACATAATTTTGGTATATGTTACAAGGAAACCTAACGAGGGCAGACATCGCTACACTATTTAAGAATTTGCTTCACGTATAGGGAGATAATGGTATTCACTTAATTTAAGTTATGGAAGGAGATTATGCCAAATCATTCAAAGTATAATAGACATATCATTGATGCAAAATCCTGTTCCTGTGGATATCATTCCGAAGATGTTTTACACTTCATTTAAATTATTGTTTAAAATAAACTGCAAATAGATATATTACATATAATGTACTTGTTACATCTAACCTTCATTTATATAATGATTGTAATATGTCGTATGTGTATTCAAGCGGTATTAACATATATTGTGAAAATTTATATGTTTAAACCACACGCTGAGCGGTCGATAAACATGCATTCTTTGTCTGTTTAACCCTATTGGCAGTGTGTATTCTGAATTGTTAATTACTGTTACATTTTGGTCTAGTTTTAAGTAGACAACAATGCTAAAGCGTTACGCTGTAACGAATGTTACACGTGATGTCAACGTGATACAACAAAAGTGTGGACTGTGGACATTCTAAAACAGGGCATTTTGTCCTGTTAGCTTACAAGTTACTTATTTTGTATAATGGTAATCTAGCCAATGTTATCTATGTGACATGTGACTTGTCCATCTTCTCTAAGGAAAACAGTCCATTTTGGAGCAGGTTGGCAACTCGTCAAGTTAGCAGCTGGGACCTCCATAGCAACAGTATCAACATCTGTAGCCGAGTATTCTGCCTTCCTATCCTTTATTTTACCTTTCATCAATGCCGGCTGAAGGAATAAGTGTTTTAGTGCCCTTATCACAATCTACAGAGAGCTTGAATACCGCGTGTTGCTATACGCTACCGTGGCCCACGCTCCAATATACCTTCGACTCACCCATCCTTAGTCAAGCTAACACTCTGTGCGGTCAATAAACATGCATTCAGAAATTCTTTTTTGTTTAACATGTTGGTCTCTATTTCAGAATAGACAAACAATTACTTGTCGCAAGTGAATAAATAGAGTATAAGGTATTTTCTAAGATGACATTTTGTTTGTGAATTAAAGTTAGGAGTCAACCCAATGGAAGTACGAGCATATGTAGTTCAGATTGAAATCTATCATGTTGGTAGTCTAGATCAGGTACTGATAGTACCATCTTTTAAGTGTAAAGAGTCATTTGATACGTGGCCGTAAGATGTACATACATAATGCCTTTAACAGAGCGAAAAATGTAACAAATGTTATATTTGGGATTACACTTTCTAATTGTACCAATGTTTATTATCAATGGGTAAGTAAAGTGCCTGATCTAGACTACCAATTGTCCGTTTTTCATTCAAGTTCTATTCAGAGTAGTATAAAGCCAATTTCACTCAATCATTGAGTAACAGACGTACAGAAAATATGAACACAGCGTAATTGTAATGATTTTATTTATATGTACATATATACAGTTCACTCACTCACTCACTCACTCTCTTTATGCGGCTCCACGTTCTGTCTTGAGGCACTCTGGAGATCTAGCGATATATACACATATATACAGTTCACTCACTCACTCACTCACTCACTCTGGTTATGCGGCCCCACGTTCTGTCTTCAAAGCATTCTGGAGATCTAGCGATATATATACATTTATACAGTTCACTCACTCACTCACTCACTCACTCACTCACTCACTTCCATTTCAACTGGCGACCTGAAAAAATAATATGATTCATCATTCATCATGTTGTCATAAGTTGTATAGAACATCTCCTTTTCTTTCATAATTTCATAGGTCATAGCAAGTAGAAAGATAATATCAGTTTGTTTGGACATAATGTTTGTGTGTAATATTGGTTGGACTATATTGATTAAACCAGTACACTTTTATAAATATATATTATATTGCACTTGTTTTATTCCAATTTAGATTTTTAATTCATCCTGCTCACTGGCATCATATTTCAATTAATATTCTCTTTATTTATTGTATATTATACTTACATTGACATCACAATGTCGCCTTTAACTTTTAGAATGTACATTCCGCCTGGAATCTCCTTCTCTGGGAACAGTGTCTCTATCAACGCACGGCTGCATTGAAATGGCTTGTCCTCGACCATGACCATTGGGGTTTCCCTGTAATGAGATGATCACATTTCAATCAATCTTTAAACATCTGCTCAGATTGATTCTTACAGGAATAGTATTTGTGTTACATAGACTGGCGAAGATTTTTATCGTTTTCTAAATATCTTTCGATTCATATATAATTGTGACAGGTGAATTCACCATTCAATGGCGATAATGATGTTTAATTGTATTAAGTTTAGTTATGAGACATTGCTGCTATTGTTTGGATTAAATATGCAGCAAGTAATGAAATGTGGTTATTTGGGAGTAACCTCGCAGACTGTATGCATATGTTATTTGATCGCACATTTTCTATACTTACTCATCAAACCCAATAGCGTCAATGTATCCAGTGACCGTTTCAGTCGGTTGTGGAACAGCCTACAAAGAACATGGTGTATATTTTCAAATGATGTTTTTAATTTCCTTATATACGTTATATCTGAATAATAGTATCGAGTTTTATTATCATTGTTAGGATAAAATAGATTTACATGGTTTTTTACAATGTGTCATGAGTGGTTGAGTCTTAAAGGTCTCAAATGCCGGATATTAATTAACTCACAACGATCTTGGTATCCAGTGTAGAATTCAGGTCCCTCTTCCCCTTGTACTCTCTAAGGGTGCAACATTCCACTGATAGGACGTCATTGATTTTCACTTCTGTTTTAGACAAGTCCCCCCATAACTTCACTTGGATAGTTGTGTCCTCTTGGGTAAGTGTTACGGTCTTTAGCGACACGCTGCTGTGTTCTGATACCTGTCAAGAGAAGGTAGATTAGCTTATATGTTATAAAAATGGATGGAAACATGTAATACTTGTAGAGTTAATTTTCAATTTTAACTTGTGTGGAGGCTTGTGGCTCATATTTGTTTCTAAGGCTTGAAGTCATATTAAGTTAAATAAGGGAAATATACATATTCATTATTTTTAAAGCATACAAACCTCTTCCACTCTTCCTTGAACGGACACTCTCGAACCGATCGATAGTGTCGGGAGTTGATCCAGTTTCATCAGAGTTGGGTTACAGTATTCCCTAAGCATTTCTTCATCATAGTCAAACGGTGGACATGTTAGAATCTGCAATTATATAAATATTATATAATATTATATCAATTATACAAGGGAAGGACCAGATTGTCTGTAATGAGTAGATTTATCTATTATATCATCCATAGTAAACATATAAAGATCTAAGTTGTTTTAATACAGACAATGTTGTGCTCTGTCAAAGGATGGTATGATTTTGAGAAATGTCTTATATGAGAAAATGTGTTCTCTTTTCACCTTAAAGCAATAACTTTACTCTGATTGTTTTTATCAGAGGAAAATATGTGTGTTTTCCCTATAGTTTCTGAGAAAGTTGATTCAGGGTTTATGTTTGTATGTAAACATCTTAACCTATACATATCAATATACATTTGAGCATGTTTAGTAACAGGTATAATATAACATTTAGTTATCGTGATTCTATTGTGAAAGTTGTTTTTGTGTTGTATGCTTGTTATAGTGATATTATTATGCATTTCCACAGTTGAAGTATGTGTTTGAAGGAAATTTTCTTCCATTTATATCTTATGTACTTACTTTGGTTCGCGGTGTGAATTTGAAGCTGCCGTCATCGGCCCTAGTCATGTTGGTCCCCATCTTGAACCCTTTTGTGAACTGTTCAAACCTGTCACTCATCCGAATGACCGTGATTTGACGGGGGTGTCTCTTTAGGACCACGTTAGCTTCTTTATAGAAGCCATATTTTCCTTTCCTTCTGTCCACTTGTCCAAAGTGGTAGAATCGAAGATTGTCTGTGGGCTGTAACAAAAAGTAAACCAAAATGTTATGTTCGTTATTAAGGTGCAACAGTCGAAGTTTGAAATATCTGAATTTGAATTACACTTTCTAATTGTACCAATGTTTATTATCAATGGGTAAGTAAAGTGCCTGATCTAGACTACCAATTGTCCGTTTTTCATTCAAGTTCCATTCAGAGTAGTATAAAGCCAATTTCACTCAATCATTGAGTAACAGACGTACAGAAAATATGAACACAGCGTAATTGTAATGATTTTATTTATATGTACATATATACAGTTCACTCACTCACTCACTCACTCACTCACTCACTCTCTTTATGCGGCTCCACGTTCTGTCTTGAGGCACTCTGGAGATCTAGCGATATATACACATATATACAGTTCACTCACTCACTCACTCACTCACTCATTCACTCACTCTGGTTATGCGGCCCCACGTTCTGTCTTCAAAGCACTCTGGAGATCTAGCGATATATATACATTTATACAGTTCACTCACTCTTTCACTCACTCACTCACTCACTCACTCACTCACTTCCATTTCAACTGGCGACCTGAAAAAATAATATGATTCATCATTCATCATGTTGTCATAAGTTGTATAGAACATCTCCTTTTCTTTCATAATTTCATAGGTCATAGCAAGTAGAAAGATAATATCAGTTTGTTTGGACATAATGTTTGTGTGTAATATTGGTTGGACTATATTGATTAAACCAGTACACTTTTATAAATATATATTATATTGCACTTGTTTTATTCCAATTTAGATTTTTAATTCATCCTGCTCACTGGCATCATATTTCAATTAATATTCTCTTTATTTATTGTATATTATACTTACATTGACATCACAATGTCGCCTTTAACTTTTAGAATGTACATTCCGCCTGGAATCTCCTTCTCTGGGAACAGTGTCTCTATCAACGCACGGCTGCATTGAAATGGCTTGTCCTCGACCATGACCATTGGGGTTTCCCTGTAATGAGATGATCACATTTCAATCAATCTTTAAACATCTGCTCAGATTGATTCTTACAGGAATAGTATTTGTGTTAGTTACATAGACTGGCGAAGATTTTTATCGTTTTCTAAATATCTTTCGATTCATATATAATTGTGACAGGTGAATTCACCATTCAATGGCGATAATGATGTTTAATTGTATTAAGTTTAGTTATGAGACATTGCTGCTATTGTTTGGATTAAATATGCAGCAAGTAATGAAATGTGGTTATTTGGGAGTAACCTCGCAGACTGTATGCATATGTTATTTGATCGCACATTTTCTATACTTACTCATCAAACCCAATAGCGTCAATGTATCCAGTGACCGTTTCAGTCGGTTGTGGAACAGCCTACAAAGAACATGGTGTATATTTTCAAATGATGTTTTTAATTTCCTTATATATGTTATATCTGAATAATAGTATCGAGTTTTATTATCATTGTTAGGATAAAATAGATTTACATGGTTTTTTACAATGTGTCATGAGTGGTTGAGTCTTAAAGGTCTCAAATGCCGGATATTAAATAACTCACAACGATATTGGTATCCAGTGTAGAATTCAGGTCCCTCTTCCCCTTGTACTCTCTAAGGGTGCAACATTCCACTGATAGGACGTCATTGATTTTCACTTCTGTTTTAGACAATTCCCCCCATAACTTCACTTGGATAGTTGTGTCCTCTTGGGTAAGTGTTACGGTCTTTAGCGACACGCTGCTGTGTTCTGATACCTGTCAAGAGAAGGTAGATTAGCTTATATGTTATAAAAATGGATGGAAACATGTAATACTTGTAGAGTTAATTTTCAATTTTAACTTGTGTGGAGGCTTGTGGCTCATATTTGTTTCTAAGGCTTGAAGTCATATTAAGTTAAATAAGGGAAATATACATATTCATTATTTTTAAAGCATACAAACCTCTTCCACTCTTCCTTGAACGGACACTTTCGAACCGATCGATAGTGTCGGGAGTTGATCCAGTTTCATCAGAGTTGGGTTACAGTATTCCCTAAGCATTTCTTCATCATAGTCAAACGGTGGACATGTTAGAATCTGCAATTATATAAATATTATATAATATTATATAAATTATACAAGGGAAGGACCAGATTGTCTGTAATGAGTAGATTTATCTATTATATCATCCATAGTAAACATATAAAGATCTAAGTTGTTTTAATACAGACAATGTTGTGCTCTGTCAAAGGATGGTATGATTTTGAGAAATGTCTTATATGAGAAAATGTGTTCTCTTTTCACCTTAAAGCAATAACTTTACTCTGATTGTTTTTATCAGAGGAAAATATGTGTGTTTTCCCTATAGTTTCTGAGAAAGTTGATTCAGGGTTTATGTTTGTATGTAAACATCTTAACCTATACATATCAATATACATTTGAGCATGTTTAGTAACAGGTATAATATAACATTTAGTTATCGTGATTCTATTGTGAAAGTTGTTTTTGTGTTGTATGCTTGTTATAGTGATATTATTATGCATTTCCACAGTTGAAGTATGTGTTTGAAGGAAATTTTCTTCCATTTATATCTTATGTACTTACTTTGGTTCGCGGTGTGAATTTGAAGCTGCCGTCATCGGCCCTAGTCATGTTGGTCCCCATCTTGAACCCTTTTGTGAACTGTTCAAACCTGTCACTCATCCGAATGACCGTGATTTGACGGGGGTGTCTCTTTAGGACCACGTTAGCTTCTTTATAGAAGCCATATTTTCCTTTCCTTCTGTCCACTTGTCCAAAGTGGTAGAATCGAAGATTGTCTGTGGGCTGTAACAAAAAGTAAACCAAAATGTCATGTTCGTTATTAAGGTGCAACAGTCGAAGTTTGAAATATCTGAATTTGAATTACACTTTCTAATTGTACCAATGTTTATTATCAATGGGTAAGTAAAGTGCCTGATCTAGACTACCAATTGTCCGTTTTTCATTCAAGTTCTATTCAGAGTAGTATAAAGCCAATTTCACTCAATCATTGAGTAACAGACGTACAGAAAATATGAACACAGCGTAATTGTAATGATTTTATTTATATGTACATATATACAGTTCACTCACTCACTCACTCTAGGCACTCGTGAAGAGCAACCTCCTCGTGGTGAGTGCTGGGTAACGCTAATAGCTCTTCCCCCGTGTGGAACCGGGGCAGAATATTTCCACAGCCTCCCATTGCTGGTCGTATGAGGCGACTAAAATGGGCAACCTGTTTGCCGTGGGTTGCGTCCCTGTGTCGGCGGAGGACGGGAGTCTGGTAGTTGAGGGCACTGGTTCCTGGAACTGTGTTCCTTTGCCCAACACACTACTTCGACCCTTACTTCGCCTAGACGGGTGGTAGAATTGGCCCGGTTCTATCAATCGGCTGGTCATGTCTAGCCCTGTGCTGGAAAATTGTTTGTATATTCTACTACATTATATTGTATTTTGGCTTTGAATGTTAAACATTCTGTAAATACGTTTGCCTAGAGTCCTATGCCAGAAGGCGGTGGCTCATGGGCCAATCTGGTAATGTCGACCTCTGAGTTCTGTATGTCTCCAATTTCTTGTTATGAGCAGAACCAGCCTAGCATTATTATTGGTAGACAAATATAGCTATTCATGCCGTATTTACTGGAGTATATCACCCTGGTATCCCCAGTGTTTGCATGCCGGATCTCCGCTGCAGTGAAACACTGTCCTTGTTGACACTCCGTGGTGGGTGAGGAGCAGGGGTGCTGAATGTTACTACTACATCATGTCACTTACACATTCTGGTTCCGTTAGAAATGACAAGAAAAGGAGATTAGAAGCTGATCATCTCTCATGTCATGAAGATGTTTCAGTTTCAAAACAAGAAACTTGGGCCAAATTTATTGTCATTGAATCTACAAAT